TTGGGCCGTCTCAGGGCCCGCTTGGGCAGTCTTGGGGCCCTCTTGAGGGCCTATTGGGGCGATCTTGGAGGCGTCTTGGGCCGTCTTGGAGCGTTGAAAGCCCGAAAAGCGAGAACGTCAAAATCCACCCAGAACTGAGAAAACCAAAGAGTTGTGCCTCTTGGGGCAGTCTCTTGGAGCTCGTGGGGCGCATTGGAGCCCGAATGGGCCGTCTTGCACCATCTTGGGCGTCTTGGAGCGCCCTTGGGCCATATCTGGGCCTTCGGCCCAGTCTCGGCTGCCTATCGAGACCCTCTTCGCCCGTCTTGGCGCGAAAAAGTCACGCGGGGAACCGCCGAGAGCGCGCGCGAGAGCGCCCGAAACTCGGAGCGATGGGCCCCTTGGATCATATATCTTGTGGACACCCCACTTCGTACCAGAGGCACGATGGCGGATTACTGCCCTGATAAGATGCGCTTGGTCACGTTTGGCCCCGAGGATCTCGCGGAGCAGCTCTCCACTTCCGAGAAGTTGTTCGGTTCCATTCCCTTGGGCACCGAGGAGTGCAGGGCCAAGCCAGTGAACCGCTACGCCAGCCCGGCGCCGTTCGCCGGGCCCAACAATCTGGGGCAGTTCTTGCATGTTCAAGGCACGCAGCCGTCTGCGAGTTTGTGGTTGCACTTCCCGCTGCCAGACGTCAAGGAGCACTTCGACAGCCACCCGCTGAACTACATCAACTACATCCTGGGCTACAGCGGGACAGACTCTCTGAGCCGTGTTCTCACCGACCAGCTGGGTCTCGCGACCGACGCTGGCGCCATGGTGGACGACAACTCTGCAGGCTCTCAGCTCTTCTTTGTGGCCACCCTCACCGAGAAGGGCCTGAAAGACCCCTCTGCGGTAATGGACGTGCTGTTTTCCTACTTGGCCGAAGTGCGCAGGAAGGGCGTGGACGAGGCCCTCTATAAGTCAATCGCCAACATCTCGGCCCTCGAGTGGGATTGGGCGGAAAACTCGGGCCCCATGGACACGGCGTCCGAGCTCGCGGAATTCATGACCAGGGGCATGCCCGTGGACAAGCTCCTCTCGGCGCCCGGACGTATCGACAAGATCGACACAACGTTGGTAGCATCGTTACTCGAGAAGGTGAATCCAGAGAACATGAATGTTGCCCTCGTGTACCCGCCGCTGGAGGAGGAGGAGTTGACAAATGCCAGCCCTGTCCAGAGGGGGCTCCAGCAGGGTGATTTCAAGAAGCTGCCATTCTACGATGTGAGCTACAAAGTCCAACCCATTTCCGAGATGCTGGGTGGCAGCGTGGGCAGGTGGCAGGATTTGTTGAGGAACACGCAAGAGCCCAAGGTCGCGCTTACAGCTTCTAAGATCCCGAGGATCCCGAGCGAGATCAAGGATGTCCCGACGACGATCCCGCTGGACAACATGCGAGCAGTCCTTCCAGGTTCCGCGGCTGGCCTCGACGAACAACTGTACGGCCAGAAACCACAGAAGCTTGAGGATGACCTGTGGTACCGCAGTGGGTGGGTGACATCCTCGCCCAAGGTGTCGATGCAGCTGAGCTTCATGCCGCTGAAGACACCTATGGAGCCCGAGATGTCCGCGGTGGACACGATGCGCTTGCAGTTGTACAGCCGCTTGTTGGGCGAGGAGATGGAGCCGAAGTTGGTCGACCTCAAGGCCACTGGGGTCTCCGGCGGTATCGACGTGTCGCGGTCCGGGATATCGGTCAGCTTCGACGGTTTCGCGCCGCTGTTGCCCAGGTTGGTCAGCGAGGTACTCAAAGAATTCAGCACTTTCAACGCCAATTCCAGCATCACAGACCCGAAGCGCTTCGCGCGCGTGGTTCAGGAAACGCGCGAGAGCCTCACCACCTACGACGACATGCCCGTGTCTTACGCCAACGGCGACCTGAGCTTGCTGCTCACGAGAGGGGCGCACTCGAACAAGGAGGCGCTCAAGGCGCTCGACCAGGTGACCATCGAGTCGGTGGCCCGTGCGGCCGAGGAGCTCATGCTGTCCCGGAAGCTGCATCTCACCTCACTTGCGATGGGCAACTTGCCGCAGGCCAAGGCCGTGGAGCTGGTCCAGCAGGCCGCCGCGGGCGTGCAGAGCCAGGAGCGCAGGAATTCGCTCACGACCAGCAGCGACGCCAAGGTGAATCTGATCACCCCAGTCGTGAACCCAGGGCAGCCCATCGAGCTGCGCGCCAAGAATCCCCGGGACGGCGACCCCAACGACGTGGCCGTGGTGGCCCTCCTGGGCGAGGTGAAGACGGTGGAGAGTCGCGTGCTGCTCGGCCTCGTGGGGAAGATCTTGGGCACGGAGGCCTACAACGAGCTGCGCACTGTGCGGCAGCTGGGCTACGTTGTACAGGGCGGCGCGGCGTCATTCTCGAACGTGATGGCCGTCAAGGTGATGGTGCAGGGCATCGCTCTCGACGCCGACCAGGCCGAGGCCGCCATACATGCCGTCATCACCGACTTCATGCCCAGGAGGCTGGCTGGACTGAAGCAGGAGGAGCTGGAGTCCATGAAGAGCGCTCTGCTGAACGAGCTCGTGATCCCACCCGTGGGGGCCTCCGAGGAGGTCGGCCACTTCTGGGGCCCGGTGCAGCAGGGCGGCCAGTGCTTCCAGCTCCAGAACGAGATGATCGCCTTCCTGAATACCACGGGCGCCGTCACCAAGAAGGCGTTGCAGGAGACGTGGACGGCACTCGCCATGCCGTCCGAGGGCATCCGCAAGAAGGTGTCGGCGGCACGCACAGGGGGGGAGGGGGCGCGAGGGATAGGGCCGTCCAGGAAGGCGGGTGGCTTCAGAGAACGCAAGATGCGCCTGAGTATCAGGAGGGGGAAACACAGACACAGATACGCATAAACGTGATTCCCTTGAAAACATTGAAAAATATAGGAAGTGGAAGGGGAAGGCGCAAATCAAGAAGATAAGAGAATGGTGAATCATGGGATTTGTGTCTATTGGTGTGCGTGTCCCTGGGTCCCTTTCAGAGAAGCCCTCCCGCCCTCCGAAAAGCCTTCTTGGAAGCCTTTGGGCCCCTGGAGTTCCTCTGAATGTTGCCGCCTTCCTGGAATGCCGCCTCCCTCGCGCCACCCTGTACTCGCCGCCATAGGTTGTCGCGAAGTACTTCGCGAAGAAGGTCCCGCCGCTGCCGCTGGCGGCGGAGGCCGCGGCGATGTGGACGAAGCAGGGCGTGCCGCAGGAGCACCAGGCCCTTCTGAAGCGCGAGCTGGCGCGCACGCTCGTGGTGGACCGCGCCGACTCCGATGCGAGGGAGCGGATCCTACAGACGGGGGGGTATTTCCCCAGGGAGCTCAAGTGCTCTCGGGCCATGAGCTGACTCGCCCTGGTGTCGAGATGACGCCCTTAAGCAGGACGAGGAGGAGGAGGAGGAGGAGGAGGAGGAGGAGGCCCGTAGCCATTTTGGCTCAAGGCTAAACGTTGTGAAGGGTCGAGGACCCGAGAATCAGCGATTAGCTTTGGACCCTTCCGTAGCCTGTCTGGCCCAGACAGCTTGGGGCGAAGGGCCCACGGCGCCAATCATTCTCTCCGCCAGTTCCGTTCCAGCCCAGAGACTGTGCCAACCATGCCTGCCGTCGAGCAGGCGCGTGGAAGCCATGCCCACAGCCGAAGTCGGAGTGCGGACGCCAGACGTGGAGCGGCAGCAGCGGCGACACTGGCGACCCTTGACGAAGATGACAAGAAACGATTGGCAGAACAGCTCGAGCTCATGCCCACGTTCCCAGCGTCTCCGCAGCCGAGGGCGGGGACTGGCGATCTGGGTTCTATGTGTCCTAATACGCCTATCACTGTTTCTGGGACTGCAAGTGGAGACGGTGCAGGTGAATTCCAGGACGCTCATGAAGACTCGTTCGGTGCAGACCGAGAGTACATCGACCTCACGAAGAAGGAGCTCCTCTTGGCGGTCGGAGGGCTACAGGCTGGCATCGCGGCGCTGGCCACCTCCGTCTCCAAGAGCTGCGACGACTTGGGCAGACAGGTCGAGAAGCGTATCTCTGGTTTTGGATCTCGGCAGGGCCGAGCAGAGGCCCGCATCACTCAGCTCGAGACCGCGATTGTCGAGTTGCGGCAGCACTTGGGCATTCTCCAGAGTGAAAAGCCAGCGACAGTCCCGGTGGATGATACCTCCTTCCACCGTGCACCAGATACCTCTCTCATTATCGTGCGGGCTAAAGTTCCTGTGGCAAAGCAAGCGATGCTCGCAGCTATCCAACCATGGCTCGACCGTGTGCAATTGGACCAGACACCCTTCAAGCTGGAGTGCGAGCCTGTGGACAAACGATTCATTTTACAAGTTCAGGGAAACGGCGCCCTGGCAGCACGTCGCGTTGGACAAGCCATGGGAGCGCTTCGTCTGCGCGACGGAGGCTGGCAGAGATTTACATGTCAAAATATTCAAGGATCGGAAACCGAGCGGTTCGTGTCCACGGACAAGAGCCCCGCCATGGTCCGCCAGGAGATCACGCTCAAGCAGATCAGAGTTCGCTTGGCTGGCCTCTACCCGCAGGCCCGCTTCTTCACGGACAAAGCTCTCGGCTCGATCTCGCCGCAGCGGAAGCAACTCATCCGAGTCAATATCCAAAGTCCGTCGGCGTCTGCTACCATCGAGTTCTGCTCGGCCAACCTGGCGCACCTCAACTTCAACGAACAGGCTATTCGTGACGCTCTGGTCGGAGTCGGCGCCATAGAGGACGAGAACATACAGTGGTGTTCCTAGCAAGTCCTACGCGTCTTGGCAAGGGAGTGCATCGTCGGCGGCTCCGCTGACGCTAGTCACTTGGAATGCCAGAGCACTCTTCTTCCACTCTCCTGTGATCCGATCCAAGAATTGGACTTCTTTAAAGTCTCTGCTATCGCGTGGGGCGCTGGTGGCAGTACAGGAGACACATGGATCCGAGGTTGCAGTGCAAGATTTTCTCTATCATCTCCACCGTCCTTTCCTAGCGTTTTCTTCGTTCTTCGTCGGCGACGTGAATGATCGCACAGGGGGTGCGACCACCTTCGCCCCCGACTTCTCCCTGACCCATCCGAGGGACCCACCTGTCATCGAACCGCTTCAGATCCTTCCTGGCAGAATTCTCAGGGTGACTATCGAATTCTCTTCTGGGGTTTGGATATCTCACTACAATATCCATAATCACGATATATCGCAGATATACCGACTACAACTTGAAGATCAGAACAAGCTAGACCTCCAGAGGGCCCAACAGAACCCGCTCTTATGCATGGTAGTGCTCGCTGGCGATTTCAACGTCGCTGATCGGCCACCTCGGTCTTTAGGAGCCACGCCTGATGTGCACGGACAGCCTCTCGCTGAGCGGCAGCATCGCCGAGATCAGTTTTGGCGTCGTCTCTTCTCCTGGTTCACGGAGGTGGAGGTGGAGGGGGGAACGCATTACAATGAGCAGATTATTTC